GCCACAGGCAAACAAGGATCCAGATATTCGCAGTGGTTGGCCCAAGAGGGCCGAGGACTATCCGCCCGGCTACGGGTGCGCAGACCCACCGGGTCTCTGCAGGGCCACATGCGACTGCATGGATGACAACCGGAGTCAGAGGCCCTGGGAAACTACGAAGGAATGGCTCGAGGATCCCAGACGTGCGTCCGATGCGAAGAAGGCAATTGAAGTGCTGAGCGCGCAGCAGCACTTCGTCAGAAGAAGGGGCACGACTTCGAAAATGCACTATTTTGAGACTGCCCAGACACGCCATGGGGACCAGACTCACGCAAACGCAGCGATGAGTCTCTGCCAAGTCTTGGAAGAGTCGGTCCGATCTGTGCTGAAGGATCTGCCTCTTTTTGCTCTCCAAGAGAACAGAGATCCTGTGCGAATACCAGCTTGTTCCCTGATGAAGCCTTTAGAGGATTATGTGCCCGTACAATTTCAGCTGTCGCAGACGTCGCCTGCTCGACAATGGCTGTGTCTTGGCGAGGAGGATGGAAAGCTCTCCCTCATTGACAGGGGGCCACCAAGCAGGCCGGCGCCTTTCAGAGTGGAGTTCGTCCACCCGGAGGGGATGACTGCATTTGTGGACTGCATGGTCACCGACACCCAGGTGAAGTCTTGGCTGTCGGCCTCGTCAAGGATCGTGGCGCGATTCACGGATGTAGCACGCTGTCCTTTGTCTCGCAAGTCTCGCGGTGTTCTGCAGGAGCATCTTGGAAAGATCTTTGACTTTGGAACGAAGGTGGCGAAGGAAGTTTCCCTTGGCCGCTGGCTCGACGTCGTGGACATGCTCATCCGCATGCTCCGGACGACTGCAATGGCTCATGTGGTGAAACCAGATTCTCACAACTCTCGGGCCCCACGAGCTTCGGCTGTCGCTCTCGCCCGATAAGAGCGCCCTAAACCCTAAACCCTAAACCCTAAACCCTAAACCCTAAACCCTAAACCCTAAACCGAGCGTTGCGTCCGCCCGTAAAAAAGGGCTCCGGGTCTCGGCTCTTGGCGGGCGGGAGGGGACTGAAACCTTGTAGAGAAGGCCTTTGGACCTAGTTGCCCTACTTGTACTTGGAGCCAGCTTGAGGTTCCTACCCTAAACCCTGAACCCCAGGCCCTAAACCATCCTAAACCTCTCTTTCGTATATATTTAAGCTTTGAACTCTTATTCGGCTTATAGGCAATCTGAGCCGGCACCCTTTTTCGGCATAGGCAAAGTTGGACCAGCAACCTTACTGGGCATAGGCAAACCTGCACCCTGCGTGGGAAAAGGCAAAACGCTTTGCCGAAGTTTAATAACATTTAATCCGTTCTGGCTGTATCACGGGGTTTAGGACTTATTCTGGGGCTGTATCGTAGGGTTTAAGGCCTCATAGGGTTTAGGGACCAGTCTGGGCTGTACCAGAACCCATAATCGTCTGTAATTTCCCTGGGTGGGTGGGTATTTTCCTAAGACTAGACGTGCTGCTAAACTAGTACTTACCCAGCCCAGCTGATCGCCCGGCTAATCGTAAAGCCTAAATCCGAGACCTTTACACTTCTAAATCCGAAACCCTACGAAAGACCTGGAACAAAGCACACTAGCCTTGCAAGCGGCTTCTCGCTCATGAGCTTGCTCGGAAATTTGCCTGGCGCTTCGTGCACCTAAACCCAAAGCCCTAAACCCTACACCCGCTCGAAGATGTAGGCCCTGAGCTTTAAATCCTAGACTCTTCACCGAGTGTGCGCGCCGGAGCCCCGCACCACCTAGAGCAAAGCACATGGCGGTTTCCGAAAATAGGGACCCTAGTATGGTACCCTAAATCGTAAGATCCTGTTCATAAGGACCCCAATAAAATAAGGTGCCCCTTATTTTTCGGAAGCTCCCACATGAGACGCCCCGGCACAGGACGAGAATAGCCATCAGATGGCCATGGCCATGGTACCGAGCCCAGAACACCCCCAAGAAAGGGCCAAAAAGGGGCCCCTAATGTAGGGGCCTCTGTAACTACGAATGCTATTTTGGGAGTTCCGTATTATGATTATAGTATAACGGGCCCAACTCTGTTCTTTTAAGGCCCCTACATTATGTGTGTGCATTTAGGGCTTTTCGGGCTTGGCGGGTTTTGTAAAGCGTGCATGCATGCGTGCCTGTATGCATGTACACATGTACGCACACATGCCTGCAATGTTCTGTAGAGTAGTGTAGTGTAAAGTAATGTATGTAGGTATGTATGTATCTGTGTCTGTCATCCCCATCACCAGGATTAGCAGTCAAGGCATGTTCAATTCGGTATTGTCACAGAGATCACAAGCGCAGCAGCCTCGAAGAGTCTGTACTTGCTGAAGCAGTTGTAGCAACCCTGCCGAATAAGCAATTGTAGGCGAAGGTGTCATACGCTAGAAATGCTGTCGATCGTAGTAGTCGTAGTAGTCATGATCTCGGACTACACCAAGAATCGCAGCATCCGTGATAGCTGGTGGACTTGCAAGGGAGAGAGAAGGTTTACAACAATTGATTTCCACGTTCTCACCGTCATCTCAAGTCTCGTGGGAAGCAGCAGCTGGAAGCCAGGATTGCGTTAGAAACATGATCACCCTCAACCTGATGCCACGAAGACAGCTTGGAGCTCATGTGAACATTCATGACTGCAGTAGCAAGCCAGGGCTGCGATGACCATGTCGGTGCATGTGGTTGTCAAGAACATAGCCGGGGAGGATGTCGTGGGCCAGCTGCAGTTTGCAGATCCTCCGTCGGTGGACGAGCTGCGCAAGAGAGCTGCAGAAAGAGTTCCGGGCTCTCGGTTTCAGCTGCTTCGTGGCTCCTCTGTCTTGAAAGAAGATGAGACGGTCTCTGGCGGGACCGTGGAGCGCCCGGTCCTGCTGACTCTGGTTATCTTGCCTGCTGCCGGTGCAGATGGGGGAGCGGAGGTCCGTCCTCTTGTCCTGGAGGACCCCATTCACGAGCAAATGGATATCTTGGTACATGACATGCGAACTGGCGAGAACTCTTTGCTGCCTCTTCATTACTTTCTGGCTGCAGACGGAAAGGCGCACTTGGGGGTACTTGCCTCAGAGGCTGCTCAGATGGTGGGTGCCGATCCGCTAGCTTTTGCTTCCCTCGCCACAGTTTCTGCAGTCTTCCCCGGTGAAGAACAAACGCAGGCGGCTCAAAACGATTCGGTGGAGCTGTGGGAGGTCATTGGTGGAGCTGCACGCGATGGCATCTTGGTCAGAACTGGCTGGTCTTTGAGCTCCACGGAGCTTTCGGAACGGCTGGCCAAGGGAGCCATCATCCAGCAGAAAGACATCCGTGGGGACCGCCTCCTTTACGCCAAGGCGAGCTGTGTGAAGCATCCAAAGCTCTGAATCAAGAAAGCAGTACAACTCCTAAACCCTAAACCCTAAACCCTAAACCCTAAACCCTAAGCCTCAACAGTGGCCTCGTTGACACTCTTTCCCCTTTTCAGTTGCGGCAGTTGCGCATCCGAAGGCCCACATCAAACAGTGAACTTCTCCCAAAGCTCCATGCTCTGTATCTGCAAAACAACCCAACAGGGCTGTTAGGTAAGATGCGCCCTAAACCCTAGATCCTAATACCTTGTCAAGCCACCACCCTGCCGCAAACCCTGAGCTCCAAACCTTTGGAGATCCCGTACCGATCCCTTGCAGTGCCCTTATAGTACTTTAGGGCCATAGTGAACTATCCCCCAAAGCTCCCTTATAAAACCTCTGTTGTATCCTTTATAGCCCCCTTATAGCTCCGTCATAGTTCCTTTATAGTTCCCTTATAGAACCCCTTGCAGAACCCCTTATAGCCAGAAGCTCTAAACCCTAAACCCTAAACCCTACTCATCTTGTTGTCACACCGACTGATATGGATCCTCGTCTGGCTTGTCCGAGTTATGAGAGTGTAAACCCTACTTAAAGGATCATGGGACTTAGTAATTAGGGTTATAACTAAGGCAACTATACGTATATTTATTTGCAACCCCACTTAAGGGACTTATACCCTTACTTACTAAGTCCCATGACCCTCCAAGTAAACCCTAAACCCTAAACCCCAAACCCTAAAGCCTAAACCCTAAACCCCTAAACCCCAAACCCTAAACCCTAAACCCTAAATCCCTAAACCCCAAATCCTAAAACCTTAAAACCTACTAAAACCCTAAATCTCGACAGGTCTCCGGCTCCGGGCCCCAGGAGGGATGGGTCTCGCTGCGCTCGCGCGGGCGCGGGCTCCTGGCGAAGAGGGCGGCAAAGAAGGATCAATGAGGGAACCGGGTTTAGGGTTTAGGTTTTAGGTTTTAGGGTTTGGGGGAAGTCTAAGTCGATAAGGGTGTCAGACAGGGTTCCATAGGGGTTCTATCAGGGTTCTATAAAGGTTCGATCAGGGTTGTGAAAGGGTTCTATAAGGGTTCTACTTGGGTTCTAGAAAGGAAAATCGAAGGCTCGGAGAGTCGAACCTTTTCGAGTTCCATGAAGAGACGCTTGTAATATGGGGGCAGCAATATAGGGTTTAGGGTTTAGGGTTTAGGGTATACTACAGCAGAGCTGTAGTAAGGGAATCTGTTCGATGTCCGTCTGGAAACCCTGGTAATTTGCAAGTAATCCGCAAGGTGGCTTTGGTGCGAAGCTTTGTAGTGTTCCTTATGCAGGGTCCTATGTGTGCTTCCTGTGAGTTCGCGTCAGGCTTTCCAGCTTCCGGGTAGTGTGTAGGTTTAGGGTCAGGGTTTTCATTTTTCAGGTTCCAGGCGGAGTCGGGCTTCGGGTGCTGGCGTCGTATGCTCGAGTGCGCGAGATGGAACACTCCAGACCTAGCCCCGAAATTCGCGGCTGGGGCCGGGGGCCGTAGACCTTGAACCCCGAGTGCGGAACCCTCATCCGCGTATAGCTTGTATGCCAGAAGGAGCCACACCGGGCGGTGGTGAAACTCCTGCACCTCCACACGGCCTTGGCGACAGCCTCTTCCGACTGGAAGAGGAGGCACCCGAGAGCCCGAAACCCAGAAGCCTCCACAACAATTCCCCTCTAGACGATCAGCCCTGACCTGAACCCTGCAGGGTTGAAGGAGTGCGAGTTTTAGGATTTCTTTAACCCGAAGCTCCGGAGCCCTAAACCTTAAACCCTGAAATCACAGAGGCTGCTATGAGAACGCTTCGCGAGTTTGTTTGTGATGCAGGGGCCTGGTTCACACACTCGTGGCTAGAAGCAGTCCGTCCAAGAATGCAGGCAGGGTTGAGGGCTGAGGCTACGGTACCTCCTTCAGTAAGAGCATGTCCCTGAAGCTCGCATTCTGCAGTGTTCCATCTGAGTGTAAGGTTCTGAAGTTGTTAGGCCGCAGCGTAGTTCTGTGCTTCTGCTGCGCTTTGGAACAGATGCGGGGCTAGAGCTTAGATGAGTTGCGGCCAGAAGTAGCTGTTTTCGATGCGTCAGGAATGCAAGTCATCAGATGGGACCTGTAGACTGCACCAAGTCTCCCCACCTCAGAAGCGCAAGCAACCTGAATGACTCGCACATTTCACATGTCGCCGCCTGTTGCAAGGCACCCGGTGGTAGAGCTCATCCAGGAGATCTGCAGCCGCTTGGAGTATCTGGCCCTGACTGCCTTGCCTACCGATCCCAGAGCACAGGAGGCCTTCACCGAAGTCCGGGATCAGTTCTCCGGACTCTGGAACTCCGGCTAAGTCTCGGGTCTCTTCACTCTGACGCACAAGGAATTACAGCCCGTTCCCGCAGCATTGCTGGAGCATCCGAGCCGAATGCAGGCTGCGCAAGGTGCTGTGAGGTTCCGAGACGCTTGTAAGACTGCGTTGCCGTGTAGCGGTCTTCGAGTTGCATGCGCATCCCAGCTGAGCTGGCCGTGGCATCTTGTCTGTGACTGGGAGGCCCTGCACCTCTGCCTACCAATGAGGGATCCACTGGGTCTACTGGTTCCCCATTGCGTTCCCCATTGCGTACATGAGGAAAGAAGCATCAAAAGAAGATGCCACGGTTTCCGACGCCAATGGCGAAGCCGGTGAGCAACGACGCACCCGAGGTGACAGTGACAAAGCAGGAATCATCGCCTGTATAGGGCCAGACATGTTTGAGCCACTGAGCGCTTCCGAAGATGAGTCGTAGCAGCAGGGCTCCGCTAGCTGGTTAATGTTAGGGTTTAGGGTTTAGGGTTTAGGGTTTGGGGTTTAGGGTTTAGGGTTTAGGGTTTTTAATCCCTCTTCAACCTGTGCATTGCACCACAGTCCCTGATGTGTGACCAGAACATGGGTATTCTGTGATGGCGCAGCATCACGGCATAATATAGGGGCCTAAATAGTTACCAAGTATATTTTGGGGGTTCCTTACAATAAGTATAGTATAGTGGCCCCCAAACCCATTCTAACTATAAATAAGGCCCCTACATTGGCGTAGACTCGCAAGCCTGAAGCCCTAAACCCGAAACCCTAAACCCGAAACCCTAAACCCTAAACCCAAAACCCAAAACCCTAAACCCTAAACCCTAAACCCTACCTGAAGCCCGAAGCCCTTTTTTGACCCTCGTCCGCTGCGAGGCCGTGAAAGCGGGAAGCCACGACGACCCGCGTCAGCTGCCAGGTTCCCCCGGGGATGCCTCGGTTTAGGGTTTAGGGCTTAGGGTTTAGGGTTTAGGGTTTAGGGTTTAGGGATTGCAACTGGGTGGGTACAGGATTTATGTAGGGTTTGAGCTCTCATCGGCTAGTTGAAGGAAGTTCAATTGGGCTTCTGCCGTCTTGAGAACTCTGGTTGAGATCTTCTTGAGATGGCAGCGGTTTTGGTGCGCCGTTGCATTTCGAGGTGAAAGGAAGAGCTTCAACATGGGATGAATGATAGCCTCTTATTGTGCTGTATAAACTTGGGAGTTTAGGGTTTAGGGTTTAGGGCAAAGGATTCAGGACCCTAAACCCTAAACCCCTAAACCCCTAAGCCCTAAGCCCTAAAAACTATGACATGTGATCTGTCTCGCAATCTGCTTCTTACATGCCCCGCAATCCCGGCGTTTCAGGGCAGGGTCTTCCAAACGGCGGTCCCTTTCTTTCTGAGGCTCCCGTTTCCATCCTGTGCAGTAATGTTGGAGCCTAAATAATTACCTATACTATTTTAGGGCTCGAATCGCCGACATCAGCGTCGGAAAGCTCGGAGCCCCAGCACCTTTAGGTGCGTCCTTGCTTGCGGTAGGCGCCATCTCGCCACGGGCCTCCCCTACCTGGCACCGCAGAGCCAGGGCTCGACGTTCTGTGGCTCGCGGTCGGCTTCGAGCGGGTCTTCGACCCTC